TCTCTCTCTCTCTCTCTCTCTCTCTCTCTCTCTCGTGCTGGGGATTGAAACTAGGCCCCTGCGTGTTGCCACTCAAGTACTTTGTAGAGAGCAGCCCTCTTGAAGTCCCCAACCAGTCTTCAGAAGTGTCCTCCACATAAACCCAAACCATGCTACTTCTCATCTACGCCCAACTCGTCCAAGTACCCGACCACTTACTCAAAATCTTTCTCTGTGAAGGGAACGTCCTCAATTAACACGGCAGAATGGACATTGAAAAATATCCCGAGCATTATCTGGAAGAGTAAGGAAATAAGTTGTCAAATTCTTACCCTCGTTCTTTGGTCGCCCCCTAGGCTCCTCCCATTTCTAATGCTGGCCCAACACCAGAGATTAACTAGAAAGAGCTAGGAGCAGGGTGGGTGAATCTGGATTTGTGTTCAGCCATCTGGAACAGGGAGTGAGGTAGGACACTAGGAAGAGTGACTGGGTATAAAGAGGTATATAGCAAACAGCTCTCCAAGACGCGTCATTATCATGGGAGCAGACGGAAGAGATGAGGGAAACACAACACTTCATATTTCTGGAAGTGGCGGCCGTTAGAGCCCTGGGGAAGCAAGGCCTCCGCTACAGTTTTCGGGGGCAAGCACACTTCCCCCTCGCCTCCACTCAACTCACGCAGGTCTCAGGGACCTAGCTCTTGTTTACCTTGAGGGGTCCGCAAATTTGTCAGAGCTGACTCCCATTCCCAGGGTCCTGCCTCAGCACCCTTTCGCTCCAGTTGTTTGCATCTCAGTGCCGTCTCGTTTTCCAGCGGCTATTTAGCTAGCCCCTTAATCAGTCTGCTGCTTCCTAAGGCCTTCGAGTTCCTCGACTCCCAGCCCTTCAACCCCAGAACCCATCCGACCCGCTCCGATTCTCGCGGGTTAGTCCCCTCACCAACATGATCACTCCCCAGGCGCTGAGGACGATGCCACAGGCGGCCAGCTTAGGCCCACAGCACAGGAGCGACGCCATGGAGGAGGGAGGGAGAGCTCGCTACAGACTGAGCGGAGCGCACCGCAGAGCAGAAGCAGGGAGAGGGAACCCTGGAGTCGCTGGGACGGGAGCTGGATTTGGGGACTTGAGCCCGGCGCAGAGCGACGGGGGGCGTGGCCTTGGGCGCGGACCACTCTGAAGGGTGACTTTCAGAAGAGAATGCTGTGACCCGTGGTGGGCCAAGCCTGGGGAGAGGGAACACGGTGTCGGAAACCGAAGCAGAAACCCTAAAAGTCCTCCTTGAACCGGGTGGCAGAGGCGTGAGTGGTGCAGGAACTGTGGCCTGAGGGTTCTCGCTGGTCGCCTACCCCGGCTTGGAATGGAAGAAGCAGGCTTCTCACGTGACCGACTTTGGCAGATCACATGACCAGGAACCAGCTGTAACCTGGTGTCAGGAAAGAGTCCACAAAACTGTTGAGTTGTGTTAGGATTGTTATGTCAGGACGAGAAGCTTGGGGTCGTCTGGATCCTCACATACCTTCTTAGTCTTGGGTGGTCTTCTGTGATGGGAAAAACGGTAAGCGAGTCCGGGAGATTCGATGTGCCGGCCTATCGCTTCTATCCAGGTCTCCCTTTTGAAAGATGCTTTGACACTTTGAAAAGAAAAAGGAAGAGTCCCCTCCTGAGGCTGAGCAGCCTGCTTTGAGGGACGCTTTTAAATAGTTGACTTTTTGATCCTGGAAATGCTTCAGTTGAAATGCAGTATCGTTATATATGCTACATTCGCTGGGCAGTGGTGGCTCACGCCTTTAATCCTAGCACTTGGGAGGCAGAGACAGGCGGATTTCTGCGTTCGAGGCCAGCCTGGTCTACAGAGTGAGTTCCAGGACAGCCAGGGCTACACAGAGAAACCCTGTCTCGAAAAACCAATTAAATAAATAAAGGCTACATTCAGAAAAAATAAGGGACTAGGAAAGGCAGACGCATTGGATACATGAAGGAAAGCGGCCTTGCTAAGTGTACAGGAGAAGGGAGAAAATAAACAGAAATATTCCTGCTGCTTCTTTCTCCACAAAAGAAGCTGCCTCTACTTTGAGTAAGACAAGGCACAGGCTGTGACTTAGCCACTGTTGCAGTGCTGTAAGGAAACACCATGATCATGGCAACTCTTACAAAACAAAGGATTTAACAGGGGGCTTGCTTAAAGTTTCAGAAATGTAGTCCATTATCATGGTGGGGAGAGCGTGGTAGCATACATGGCATGGCCTGGAGCAGTAGCTGAGGGCTAAATCCTGATCTGGGCGGGGCAGGGCTGGCTGGCGTGGGTTTTTGAAACCTCAAAGCCCACTCTTAGTGACACACTTCCTTCAACAAGGCCACACTTCCTAGCCCGTGTAATCCTTTTAAAGAGTTCCACCCCTGTTGACCAAGCATTCACCTACACGATCCTGTGGGGCCATTCTCATTCAAAGCCCCACAAGATGTAAAAATAAGACTAGACCTTCTTCTCCAACAGAGAAATGTGGTAACTCCACTAGTAAGAAACATTTGTAGTAAGTATTTGGGGTAATTAGAAATGCTTAAAGAACATTCCCTCCCCTCTAGGGCTGGGGTTCCAGCTTAGGGCCAGTGCTGAAAAAGAACTTTGCACTGAGATCGGTGTGCACATCCTAGTGAGGATGGCAGCCACAGAACAGACCCTGGAGCCAGACAGGAACATGGCCATGGACTGGAATCTCATGCCATTTATTCTGTTTATTTTGTGGCTATTGTTCTTAAAATGGTTGGGGTTAGGGAAGAGAACCCATGAAGCACACGGTTGTTACAAGGTGTAAGTGAGCTGGAAGCACAGGCTCCAAACAAGGGTTTCCTACCTCTCTTGTTTTTGACTGTTAGAGAAGGCAGAAACTTGGTGAAATGGTTTTTATTTGGGGCCAGTTACACCTTTATTTAGAACTAACTATTCAGGATATGTGTCCAAAATGGAAAAGTGGGGGTGGAGGGAAGAGTCTGGGATTTACATGCTGTTTGCCATCAAGCATGAGGTCTGGTTCCTGGCAAAGGAGAATTAGCTGAAGTAGTTGATTTCATCCAGAAATATACTCTTCCTCTCCTCAGCCATGGCTCTTGGATGTTTTGAAAATTGGATTTGGGGCTTGAGGCTTGTATGAGGTTAGACCAAATCTAACCAGAAATCATGCAAAGCACTTTTGTTTTTGTATCTGGTTTTGTTTGCTTTGTTTTGTTTGTTGAGACAGGGGTTCAGCCCTGGCTGTCCTGGAGCTCACTCTGTAAGCCAGGCAGGCCTTGAACTCAGAGATCTGCTGCATCTGCCTTCCCAGATTAAAGATGCTGAGATTAAAGGAGTGCATGACCACGCTTGGCTTTGTTTTTTAAATGGTTAAACAAGGACATGTGAAGTTCATATCTCAGTGTCCGCACCTAAAGTTTTCCTGGAACATAGTCATACACCAGTGGTTTAGTGAGAGAGTAAGGAAGTGTGGTGGAAAGTGGGCGGCCCTCCAGACTACACTGTTCCTCTCAACAGCAGATCATGTAGTGCCCTGTGAATACTCATGTGGAGCATTTAGTCAGGAGAGGAATTAGAGTCTCGGCAGCAGACGTGAGAAGGCACAGAATCAAGTGAGTGGGTAGTGGCAGTCCTAGAGCTGAGGAAGTCTTTTGGGTCCCAGCAGCTCTGCCTCAGATGGTGATGCTGTTCTCTATGCGGCTGGGCTTGAGGTATTCATAGGGCAGGTCAAGTTGTTCATTCCGGGCTGTAATCTCTTTCTCCAAATTTTCCAAATCTGCTTGAAATTGGCTGAGCACAGCTTTGGTCCTTGGGTCTGAGAAATATTTTTCTTTGTGGTGTCCTAGAGGTACCTGAGACAGAAAGGACCATTCAGGCTCCAGCCGGAAGACAGAGCGCCTCACGCCCAGCCCCTTGCGCTGACACGCTTCCCCCAGTTGTTACTTCCCACTCCATGGTCGTTACTCACCATGTCTGGCTGGAGGCGACCCAGATGCCACGTGATGGTCATCTGAAGACAGGACTTCTGAGTATCAGGTAGCGATCCCATCACGGTCTCCATCGTCACGTCGTCCTTGCTGGTAGGTGGAGGCATCCTCATTGTGCACGGAGCATTGGGTACCCAACCATACCAGTCCAGCTGCAGAAGGAAGCCGAGGCTTCAGAACCCAGGTGTTAGGAATGGAATCCCCACCTCTCCCTTGGATTTCCTGAGGCCCAAACACTTGCTTTCTGGGGCCTGGGCCCTCAGCTCTCTGTACCTGACCCTGGTTGATGGCAGCATGCTGGGAAGTGCAGGTGAAGATACACATGGTGAGAAAATGGCAGAGCTGAGCCCGGGACTGGAAGGAGACAGGGAATCCTGGGCAGGAAAAGAACAGGATTTAAAGAGGAAAGAAAGAAAGATGGTTTGGTAGGTCTGTATTTTAGAACGGATGTGTATTAGCTTGTTTATGTAGATGTATTTGTATCAGATATGGATTTCAATATCGGCCTCATCACTTACATCTTGGCGACTTTAGACCAATTACCTAACCTCTCCACATTCTAGTTTTTCCATCTGCACAATGGATGTAGTGGTGCATGCATGTAGCCCCAGCTCAGGCAGGAGGATTGAGTTCCTGGTCAGCCCAGCTGCACCATTGTCTGGGGCCACATAGTGAGATTTTGTCTTTAAAAAATAAAAGACAAGCCAGGTGGTGGTGGTGCATGCCTTTAATCCCAGCACTTGGGAGGCAGAGGCAGGTGGATTTCTGAGTTTGAGGCCAGCCTGGTCTACAGAGTGAGTTCCAGGACAGCCAGGGCTACACAGAGAAACCCTGTCTCGAAAAACCAAAAAAAAAAAAAAAAAAGACATCAAAAAGTTTAAATAGTGCTCAGGAAATATAGATATTGTTATTATGGAAAGATTAGGGGCTGGGTGATCATCAGTTATCCCTAGTTGGTGAAGAATTTCATGATTCTTTTTATTTCTAGGCAGTCTCTATGTTATAAAATGAAGAATAAGAGACATCCTGTTCCATGCCTGTAACCCCAGCATTTGGGAGGTTGAGGCAGGAAGAGCATGAGTTCAGGGCCAGCCTCTACTGCATAGTAAGTTTGAGGCCCAGCTAAGCTAAATGACCCTGTCTAAAATAACAAAGTCCTGAATGTACCTCAATAGAACTTTATTTTACAGTGCATGTGGGAGCTTTAATTACACCTGTTTTCTAGATAAGAAAATCAAAGACTGGGGAGATTAAACTGCTAGTCAAGATTTTCCTGAGCAGGGAAAGCAGAGACTGGCTTTGAACTCGGGTTCCTGGCTGCTATTCCATTACCCATTTTAATTTCAGCATACTTCCTCTAAGTCCATCAGGAAAATTAGGCAAAAGTGAGCTCTGAGAGTTGAGAGAGAACAGAGCAAAGAGTGGCCAAGAAGTTATTTGTGGGGATTGAAGTCAACACTTATGGTATGAAATGAATGTTTGTGTTTCCACCCCCAAGTTAGTGTCTTGAAGTCATCCACTAGTGTGGGTGTGAGGAGTCTTGGAACGTTATAAGGTCATGAGGGTGGAGCTCTCATGAGCAATGACAGCGTCCTTATGAGAGAGGATGTAGTGCCATGAAAGTCACCTGTGCAACCTGGAAGAGTGTCCCCCAGAGCCCAAACATGCTGGCACCCGACCTCAGACTTCCAGTCCCCAGAACGGTGAGAAAGAAACCGCTGAAGCTTAAGCTACCCTATCTGTCTCACTTCATTATTTCAGTCCAAACAGACTAAGACACTGAATAGTTACTGTAATTTCAGGCTGTAGATACTGCTTAAGGAGACGGCCAGGGAGAAGAATCTATTTGGACACATGAAGTCTAAGGGTCTAAGAAACAGTAGAGAGATCTTAGTCCCAGAAGGATCCAGGTGGTGAACCCTTTGCTTTCCCAAGGAGACGATCTCTCCAGGGTACAGGTGTCCCTACATTGCAGGGTCTGGCTATGATGGTCCCTCCATTCCATAAGAAGCAGTGGATGGGATGCAGGCTGGTAGTTGTGATGTTTTGTACATGCTTGGCCCAGGAAGTGGCACTATTAAGAGGTGTGGCCTTGTTGGAGTACATATATCACTGCGGGTGTGGGCTTTAACACCCTAGTCCTAGCTGCCCGGAAGTGAGTATTCTACTAGCAGCCTTCAGATGAAGATGTAGAACTCTCATCTCCTCCTGCACCATGTCTGCCTGGATGCTGCCATATTCTCACCTTGATGATAGTGGACTGAACCTCGGAACCTGTCAGCCAGCCCCAATTAAATGTTGTCCTTATAAGTGTTGCCTTGATCATGGTGTCTGTTCACAGCAGTAAAACCCTAACTAAGACAGTAGTCTTGAGTATGGAGGGGGCCTGAAAGCCAGAGAAGGGGAGACACTATGTTTAGATAACCCATGAAGGGATAGTTCTCTCAGTAGGTAAAGGAGGAAACAGAAGTTGACTGTAAATAGAGGTTGCATCCTCACTGCTGGTTGGGAAGGTGGAGATCGAGGGCCAGATTTAGCCAGAGAAACCTGAGCCCCAAGGATCGGGGCTTTGAATTCAGATTTGAGCATGTAGATATTGTTGAGATGGCACCTAGAAATGACCTTGCAGTCTGGTAGACATGTAGCATACCAGAAGCCTCTGTGTGGACGGTAGCAGGCAGGAGGAAAATGGGTAGTCATGGTGAGACTTGAAGGGCTTTGGAGGGAGATTTTCCCATTTGTGTCTTCAGGCAGGGATCTCTGAGTGCAGGACGTAACCCTCAGCAGGGACTGAGCAGAGCTCACTGGCTGTGGCTCTGGACCGGGTGGGCCTCATGCTGTGGCATTTATGGACATGACTGAGGACATGCATATGAGTGATGGGCGGGTCTCTCCATGAGGACGACCTGGGTATGTAGGATGCTTCTGGGGGTTTGGAGGCATGGAGGATGCTTTCACAAGTAGAAGGGAAGATGTGATTGGGGGGTTCCGACCCTGAGGTCTGGGGAGGGGCACTTGCTGAGTCTCTGTCTGAGTACTGTCTCTGGGACAGATCTTACCTCTGTCCTGGGCATGGCACAGCCCCACCTCAGTGATCTCCCGACACCAGGCCTGCAGCTCTGGGTCTCCCCTCACAATATCATCACTCTGGTAGAAGAGATGGACCATCCCCTTCACATACCTGCCCAGAGAAGGAAGCAGAGCTGAGGGCAGAAGGCTCCTGCTTCTCACCTCTGCACCCCTTTTCTTTTTTTCTTTCTTTTTCTTTTTTTTATTTTTTGGTTTTTCGAGACAGGGTTTCTCTGTGTAGTTCTGGCTGTCCTGGAACTCACTCTGTAGACCAGGCTGGCCTCGAACTCAGAAATCCGCCTGTCTCTGCCTCCCAAGTGCTGGGATTAAAGGCGTGCACCACCACTGCCGGCTACTGCACCCCTTTTCTATGGCGGCCTCTCACCTGGCTCTCACTGTGCCTGGGCCAGATCCTACCAGATTTGTGTTTTGAGGTTTAAATTTTCATTTAAAGATTCAATTAGTTTATTACAGTATTGGGATCAAAATGAAGGCCTTGTTCATACTAAACAAGCATCCTGTGATTACACCTCAGGGCTTGGGTATATTGATGTAGGAAATGAGATAAAAGTTAGTAATTCTATGAATTTACACATGCTAGTCACTCCTAACAAAACCCTGACACCTCCAGATCCCCCATCCTCCCCTCCGACAGCCCTCCTCATCTGAGCCCCACCCCTACTCTCAACTTTTTGCTTTTAAACCTTAAAACTGACTCTACCTGGTCCTTCAATTTCTCTCTCTGGGGAGATATTTTTTGCTCCCACCCAGATTTTACCCATGTCCTTTGATTCACCGGCTCCCTCTCACTCACCTGGCAGTGACTTCCCAGAGCTGTAAAGCATCCTGAGCATAGAGAGCACTTGGGATTCTCAGCAAGCCTCGGTTAGCCAGATCATCAGGAGGACAGAGGGAGCGATAAGTCAGCTGAGCCACTGCCCGAGTGAGCAACTGAACATGGCCGCCTCCACCTGTGCTCACTACCTGGGACAAGAGAGTTGACAAGTCTTGATGGATGGAAGCTGGGGTAGAGAACCAGGGCTATAGGGGGCTCACAGGTGGAGTTTCCAGATTTATAGTCATGTACATGAAGGGACAGGATTATAGGTCAAGGCTTGAGATTTTCATGCACATTAGTCTGGCTTCCCCAAGTGTTCAGACTATCAATGGGAGCTGGGAGATTAGGTTCCTCAGTACCTTCCTTACCTGATCAAATATTCCACCATCTGAGATGAGCTGGGTCCGGCTTCGTGTGTTAATTTCCATAGTGTAACGGATGTGCGGAACTAGGAGCTGGGTGGAGAATAAAGGGGGCTGTGCTTGAATACCTTCCTTGTAGGACCTGACACCAAGGTGACACCCGTCACCAAGCGTAATGTACTTCTGTCCTCTGGGTGCTTTCACTCAGGCTGAAGTCAGACAGGCTGGTCTCTTGCTTCTCGGATCACTCATTCGTATTCTCTAAACTCCTCAGGGGTTGTCCTCTAGAGCCAATAGTAACCAGGATTTCAATCCACACCTTACCACTCAGACACTTGGCCAAGATAATTACCATCTAATCTGCATTATCCTCATCTGCCAACAGGGGGCAATAATAGGCTCTAATGAGGGGAGCCGTAGCAATGTGTGAGACTATGTAAGTGATCTGTGAAGTGTCTGTCCACAGAAAGGATCCCCATTAACAGATGTTATTCATTCCCTTTTGCCTTGAGTGGGATGTCTGTTAGGGACTCGTGGCCTCCCTTATATTTCCTTATATTCTATCATTTATATCTGCATAGCTTAAATTAGCCTATATATTCCTTACCAAAACTGTACCGCCAGTCTTTGGTTATTTGACTCTTGGGTTTCTTCAGGAGTGCCTGGAGGGGAGGTATATGAAGCTGTCTGCTTACACAGCAGAGGTGTCGCCACCCATCCTGTCCCCAGCCTTGCTGGTACTATTGGCCTCCCCTCTCCTTCTCCTTGGCTGTTAAAAAACGCCACCTCATTCTCATACGCTTCCTCTGTCTTCTTTTTTACACAGTTAATATTCATGCTTCATCTACTCTTGGTGTTTATCTGAATTGCTTATGCCAAACATAGGAGTGACTCAGGGCTCTCTCTGATTTTGAGATATCAAAGCACTTCACATTGGTCTGAGATTACTTGGAAAATTCACACACGATTCAGAATGACATAGATTGCCCCAAGTTCACATGAGAAGAAAAGACTCCTGGAATCAACCCCTAACAGCGATTGATAGAACTTTTTGGATAGCATTTAGTATGTGTCACATTATACTTTAAGTCATTCATCCTTTAACAAACCTACCAGAGACCTGACATCATTTAAAAATGTGCACATCTAGGCTGCAGATGGAGCTCAGCTGGCAAAATGCTTGGATGGCATATATACAGCCTCCAGGTTCAATTCCCAGCACCCCATAAGCTGGCTGTGGTGGTGCACACCTCTAATCCAAGCATGTGGGAGATGGACACAAGAAGACCAGAGAAGTTTAAGGAAATCTTTGGTTTGAGGCCAGCGTGGGCTGTATGAGCCCGCTGTCCTAAAAGCAAAACAAAACAAAAAACTGGACATTGGGAAAATATCAGGGTAAGATTTGAAATTTAGACTCAACAATCATAAAGTTCCATAAAGTGAACACTAAGGAAGCCCTTGGGACATTTGCATATTTAGCCCTCCTCTGTGTCCTGTGGTATAAAGCATGGGATGTAGTTGTTAGGATGGGTGGGGACAATAGGAGGCTGAGCCAGAGAGGAAGATTTCATGTGTGAATAGAGGCCTTAACCATACACATTGGCCGGGAGGTGGTGGCGCACGCCTTTAATCCCAGCACTTGGGAGGCAGAGGCAGGCGGATTTCTGAAGTCAAGGCCAGCCTGGTCTACAGAGTGAGTTCTAGGACAGCCCGGGCTACACAGGAAACCCTGTCTCAAAAAAACAAACAAAAAACCCCCCCAAAAAACCAAAAAAACAAAAAACTATACACATTGACTAGAAGACACAGATGCAGGTGGTCTCATGCGGGAAATAAAATCCAAGATACTATTCATCAGACTGTGTTACCCAAAGGGATAATTCCAAAGGGGTCACAGCTGGCCAGGCCTGGGCAGTCAGAAGCATCCAGGTGGGGTGATTTAATTGTTCTTGCCACACACCTCCCCACCAACACTTTATACACCATGTGACTAAAACCAGACACCTTTGGCCCTTGAACTAGCTCTGACAATCACATTCTTGTGATAGTTGTGACTATACCAATTTTGTGATCTCTGGCATATTCTCTACGTGTGAAATGTCATCAAGATTTTCCAGATCTTTTCATTTGTATTATTGTTTTATTTGCTTGCGAGTATGTGTGAGTGGACATGTGTGTGTCAACGGTGCCCATGTTGGTTCCCTCCTCACTCTCCTCCCTCCATCACACTGAGGGAGCTAAAGATGCATCACTACATTTGGACTCTTCACGGGTCCTGGGGATCTGAACTCAGGTCCTCGAGTGTGTGCAGCAAGCATCTTATCCGCTAGCCACCTCCTCCATCCTCGGGTGGTTCTTAGCCACTTGTCTTCCTGGGTAAATCTTAAATCTTCTAACGTAGGAATAAAACCCTCCAGCCCATCGGCAATATTTCGGCTATGTTGTAAGCCCGTTGTGAGACTGCCAGATATTTGAGAATTTCAGAGACCTCACTTATAATAGTCCCAAAGACACATTAAAGGACTCAGCTCAATTAAAATAAATTCCAAGATGTTGATACAGCTCTCCATCCCCGGCTTCTCACTCACAGATTGCTATGAGGATTTTTGATGCTGTATCCACCTCCTTTGTGTTGTGGGGGGTGGAGAGAGGTGGATTCCAGGAACTTGCTGGCCAGCCAGTCTAGACAAAATGGTGAGCTCCAGGTCCAGTTAGATACTCTTTCTCCAAATAGCTCATTTGGGACTAAGGGAGATGGGACAGAGGATCAAGCCTGTACCTTGAAGATAGGGTGCAGTCCTGGGAGGCACCTCATGGTGGCAACAGCGATGACCTCAGCCACCAGATGAGTGTTCAGCAAATGGAATTGGAGCTCCTGCAGCTGGAAATCTGAATTTCGGACCCAGATCTTAGCCAAGAGCCAGGCAAGTGGAGGATCTGAGGGCAGGAACAATGTTGGAGCTGGGGAGCTGGGACTGGGAGGCTGAATCTGGGAGACATAGAAATTGGGTAGTTACTGGACTCCCACTCCATGTATGTCACGTGTATGTCCATGTAGTCACAGTTCCTGAGGAAATTGATGACTAAGCAAAACCGTTGCCTTCCAGTGGCTTACACTCAAGTAGAAGGGATTCTGCTTCCCTAGGTATAATGCCATGGTGGGCAGGCTGGGCTCTGGAGATGGGAACCAGGGGTCCAGAAAGGAGGTCCTAGAAGTGGTGTGGGGAAAATGTAGTGGGGCTCCGAGATCAAGCGATGAAAGAGAAAGCAAAGGCTGGATGGGTGAGAGCCTGAGTGGTGTGCAACACTTTAATTCTAACCCCCAGGAAGCCAAGTCCGGTGGGTCTCTGTGGGTTCAAAGCCAGCGTGGTTTACATGGTGAATTCTAGGCCAGCCAAGGCTACACAGTGAGGCCCTTCCTCAAAGGACAACAAAAACAGAACAAAGATGGATGTGTAAGACTATTGAGGTGCTGCTCCTCAATGGTTGATGACAGCAGTGGGTGAGAAGACAGGTGACAGTGGGTGTTTGGAAGCAGAGGACACGGGGGATTAAACATGGTTCCCCGTGTGGCCCTCAGCTACTTAGTCTCCACATTAATCTGGAATGTGTAAAGAAAGCGCTGTCTTACATCCCACTTCAGATACAGTGAAAGAGAAATCCTTAGGGTAGGACTTAACAAACTTCCTTCCCCTTCCTGCTCCACCCAGGGCCTTATGCATGCTGGGTAAGTACTGTGCATGAAGCTACACCCCCAATGCAGAAACCTGTGGCTTTAACAAGCACTTGAGGTGATTCAGAAGCACAGTAACATTTGAAAGCTGCTGATAACGGGATGAAGACTCAAGAGGCCGTTTGCTTTTTGTTTGTTTTAAGATCTTACTATGTCACTCAGGCTGGCCTAAAACTTGTCATGTATCCTTGGGTAGTCTTGAACTCAAGATCCTCCTGCCTCTAAAGTATTGGGACTATGGGTATGCACACAGCTGCTTCTGTGAGTCACGAATAAGCACTTTCATTTGGGTGAGTCAGTGGGACTGGATTGTGAAATGAGGGTGGGTCTCAGTAGAGATAGGGCCTGGGAGCCAAGCACCCAGAAATGGATGTAACAGAGACCAGCATCAGGAATGAGATACCTGGGAAGCCTTACCTGGATAGCCATGGGTAGCAGCTTCCCACCGGGGTCCATCCTCAGCATGACAAGAGGGGCAGCCAGGTACTGTTGTTCTCCTCGGATCACATTAGCTGGAATTCCATCCAGCAGGATAAAGTCAGCTTCAAACAAGGATCCATTCTGGAGAAAGGAATGCATCCATCTTAGAGTGCAAAGTTCACGCACAGAGGGGCCCAGACAAAGGTTAAGGCATTTACAGACATTGATTCCAGCCTCTTTCACTGCCCTTCCTCTCAGCAGAGCTACTGTACCTGGTTGGTCCAGTTCTTCCAATCTTAAGTCAAAACCAAACTAAACTCAGCCTGATGAGATATCTTGTAGCTACCTTGTGTGGGGATACATTGTAGAACTGGGTACAGAATAGGCCTGCTCAATCCAGTTGCCTCACAAGCACTATCAACCTGACTCAGTGTCTAGATGGCCAGTCCCCCTCCTTTTCCTCCCTAAATGGTCTCTCTGCGCTCAGCTTCCACCACCTCAGCATCCCTCATCAGCTCTGTAAGAATCTCGCCTACCCTGAGGAAAACTCCACCGAACTTCCCGAGCCGCCACTACCACTGACTACCGTGTACACAGGGTTACCCTCCTGGCAGCCACTTCCCAAACTCAAATCTTTAAACATTTCCCAGAAAACCTCCTGTATCTCCCCGAGCCATGACACGGGCTTTTCCTTTTCATCTGCCAACATCACTGGAGTCCAGGAAAAAACAAACAAACAAAAAACCTCTACAAGAATGTCATTGTTCCAGCTAACATCTCTGGACCCAGCCTGTGCCCTAGGAATCCATCCTCTTTCCCCAACTCATACAGGAGTTCCTTATAGCTTTTGCACACAGTGCCATTTTTCGGGGCCTTTTCTTACTAGAGCACACACACCCAGGGATGCCTCCTTCCCCATCATCTCAACCTCACAAGGTCTTACGCACTAGTAACAAGAGAACAGTGCCGGGCAGGAGGAAGGTACCTTGAGTTCTTTCTCCAACTGAGCTTGAAGCTCCTCTGTCCCAGAGGGCAGAACCAGTCTGGAGGGCAGAGAGGTGGAACGTCTCAACACCATGGGGTTGGCACCATTGAGGAACTGGTAGCCAAAGAATTCATCATCCTTCCAACACTGGTGAACCTTCTCTGGGATGGGAGGTGGGGGGAGGAGGCACAGAAAGGACGAGATTTACCACAGCTTGGATATTTCTGTTCTTCTCGTTGAACCTCGGGGATTTAGACTAGCCTATGCTCAGCCCATTTTTATTTTTGTCATTTTTGAGGCCTCTGTGAGAATTCAGGCATACTATATCATACTTTGGCAAGGACCTATGGGGACCATGGATTCTAGTGAAAAGGGGCCACTAGGAGGTAATTGGAAGCCACTGACCAGCCAAGGCACTCTTCTGGCCCCAGAAGATCTGATCAAAGTCTTCCAGACAGTTCCAGCTTCTCAGGAGGGTATAAACACGTTTGAGGCCCATTTCCAGAACCCTAGGATGGGTGTTAAGACATGAACCCATCGTCTGACCCTCAGCCCCTCACTGTGTACCTCCATGCTTGGGTCTCCCAGCCCCCATCCCATGAGTGTCAACCCTCTCCTTACCCCGCCTTCAGTGTCCATTCAAAGTCCAGTCTCTTCTCCTCATGGAATCTCATATTTGGAGGTAGGTCATCCTTACAGTCCGCTGCTATTGTCTGAGGTAAGCCTTCCTTCCAGGTGGCCCAGCTACAAGTTGGGGACAACACTTCAGAGAAAGTGTTGAGATCAGTGATGGGTGCAGGGTGGGGAGGGGGAGGACAGTTGGGAGGCCTGTGGGTAAATGGTTACCAGTAGGTCTGTTGTCTTTCCTTCAGTTCCTTTTCTCTATGCTTCTGGAAGACATCCAAGGCATTGTCTGCTGCCAGGCGGGCTGGGGAAAGTTACAATTAGCTACACATCTTGTCTGGTTTTAAGCCCTCTTCTGCTTGTCCCCATCTCTCTCTTTGTAGCCAGACTTCATGTTTTCTGCTGGACTCTGTTGCCTTTGTCTCTGGCTTTGCCTCCCTTGACTGATCCCCGGACACATTCATCTGGTTCTTGGGGCTTGAGCTCACAATTTCACTTACTTCAACCCACATCTTTCTCTTTCAGACCAGAATCCCATATCTGCCTCATTTCCGTTCCTTCAGCTCATAATCTCCTACCTGACTCTATTTCATCAATATCTAAAATGGGGGTGTGTGGGGGGGGAAAGTCATGCTAATTAAAGTGATGAAATCTTCGTCACCGACACCACACCTATAGCTACTTGTTGCTGTGGCTAATCTCACACCCTAAACTTCATCTGTTCACGTTCAGCCGTACTTTCATTGCCTGGCGTCGCCTCCGGAGCTCTACAGCTACTGACTTGTCTCCCGTGCCACCTCAGCGAGATCCACCTGTCTCCAAGTGTTCCCGCCCTCACCACTCTGGCTTTCCCCTTGCCTCTGCACATCTCTTTCTCTTGTTTCTGACCGGTAAAAATGTGAAGTTTTACAGTTCTTTTGCATGCCTTCTCCTCCCAGGTGGTCCCCACTATCCAATCAAATTAGCTGCCCATCAGCCCTTCCTCGCTGCCCGATGTTCATTGGACAGCTCTTGTTCTGTGAGCCCCCCTCCCACCTGTCTTGTCCTAACTCATTCTGAATCACGGAATTCTCCGTTTGTGTCCAGGGCTCCATGACCTACTTCCCATCTAGAAAAACAGTCTCCAGATCTCTTACTCCCTGTTTAATTCATTTGCGACATCACTTATTTCCGGGAAACATTTGGGGAATTCACAGCTTCTCACTTCCTCACTTGTACCCTGGAAACTCACTGTCCGGTGCCTGCCCATTCTTTCTTTCTCCATGTTCTTTCCCTCCCCCCTTCTTTAGCCCTATCCCCTCGCCCCATCACCGCCAGCACTCCTCTTTCCACCTCCGTTCACCTCCCCAGGGTAGGACTCTGTCTGCTCACCTGTCCCCTCGGGCAGGCTCAGGATTCCCTCTCCCTGCACCCAGCGATAGCAAGGGAACACAGCCTCTGCACTCATCCCGGTCCCCTGAACAGTGATGAGGTTGCAGAACCAGGCGTCGTCCACAACTGTATGCTGTTTGTGTAGTTTCACAAACTGCAGTGGCCCCAAGTTCTCGGGAACGTCGAAGTCAAACTCCTCCTCCTGCGGGGACCACACTTAGTAGAAGGGATTGGGAGAATCCTCCCCTTTGTGGGGCCTCAGTTTACCACAGCGGTTAAAGAACATCTCGCCCCTGCTCTCCTTCCCACTTCCACCCCTAACCTGTCTGGTGGGTCTAAGGTGTCCCATTTCTGAGGGAAGACCAGAGTTTACCGCGCTGACAAGAGATTTGAGCAGATGATGACGATCATGACCTATCTCATCCTGTTCACTGAGCGCCCACCCCACTGGAACTTGGAGGAGCTTCGACTGACCACAAGTCCTGTATTTATATTAGTTCTGGGACTATGAATGCAGGACCCAGAGGCTGTCTGGGCCGGGGTCTGGGAAAGGAGACCACCTCGGCCCCTTAGTTGACATCACTCCTGGTGTCCTACCTCCACAAAATTCCATCGTGGTCGTGCTATCACAGTCCCTAGCCTCCTGTCCCTTGCCAACCTCCCACTCCTAACTCTGATATTAGAGGGCCCCAGCTCTTGCCCACTGACCTTGCCCCGCGCTGGCCGCAACTGCAGCTCCAGTTTCGCCTCTTGGTGCGCCCCAACCAGCCACAGACGCACTAGGTTGAGGGATCCCGAGAAGAGCCAGGCCCCAGTGACCACGCGGACGCGGTAGCGGCCCATGGCGCCCTCTGGCCTCTCAGGAGGCGATCCAAGTCAAGTTCAATTCGAAGACCGCCCAGGGCCACCGTCGCCTCAGGGCCAGGTCCGAGGCTTTAAAAAGATGGATCTGTGTCCCCGCCCACACAACTCCTAGGCACTCCCAAGTCCCCGCCCCTGACTAGCCTGAACCTGCTAGCCCAGCCCACGAGCAGGCTTTGGGAAAAGGCTGTGCCTTTGGATCAGCTATAGTACGAGAGAAACCAAAGAGACCCTGGCTGGAGGGTTGGGGATGGGTGGATGGGTGGATGGGTGGATGGGTGGATGGGTGGATGGGTGGATGGGTGGATGGGTGGATGGGTGGATGGGTGGATGGGTGGATGGGTGGGGGTGGGGGGGCTTAGAGCTTAGATATGGCAGGGGACTAGCGCAGGAGCTTCCAGCGGAGCTAAGGAGGCTTAGGGCCCTTCCCAAGGTCTCTGGGCTTTTAGGAGAACTTGCAAAGGGGTTGAAAACATTTTTCAAATGGAGGAAGGAAAAGTGTCTTTTCTGGGCTGAGAGGAATGCTTGTAGCAGGTGAGCCCAGGAGGGTCTGGGGGATGCCCAGCTGCTAGACCATCTGTGGTCCCCAAACACCCCAGTCCCTGCTCTACTGCTTTTGAAATCATCCCTTCAATAACCCCCCCAGGGATTCCCAGACTGCCTTGAGCCTGAAAAGACAGACTTAGAACCCCACCACTCCCTTCTCCCCACTCACCTGAACATCAAGACTTTAAGACTTCAAATATACAAAGTGTCCTGGGGTACACATCTTGAGGGAGGCCAAGGACAGTGAATGCTTCATTTTGTCCAACCTCCTCCAGACAGTGGGTTCAGAGTACCAGTCTGGGTATGAGGGTGCAGTATAGAATCAGTTACGTGTCCAGCATGTAAGGAATGAGTTTATTTCTTCCAGGTAAGGAGAGTGAGCCTTTCTTTAGTGGATCCCAGGTTGGATTTTCTTCCCAAGTTATCACCTGGTCTTGGGTCTCAGAAAAGGAAAGTCATAAACAGCAGTTAGAACTGTGCTTGGTAGGGACTTTGTGAATAGTGGGAAATTCGTTCAGGACTCAGACTTTGTCACATGTACAAGTCCCTAACTAGGTTTTTGTGGACTAAGATGTTATAGTTTGGAGGCTAGGCCAGGGCCAGGGCCAGGAGGATCTGTTTTCTGGACCTAGGATGCTGCTGCTTTTGGGAAGGGAAAGTCTATGACTTTCTAGGTCACACCTTTAGGCCTCCAAAACCCTGAGGCACATCAGGTCCTTAGTGGATTACCATTGCAAATTTTCCAGACCCATTTCTGCCTAGAAGTTCTGTGTTCTGGAGTGGGAGTCTGTCAAGTGACAGCCCCCCCTTCCTTTCAATGTTTTGGCATCACCTTTTTCTATATGTTCCCCTTGATTCCTGACAGCAGGCTGCATGACACGCATTTCCATAGGTCATGTTTCCCCTTCTAGGAGAGTTTGATACATATCTTACTAAATGATTCCATAATTCAAAACTTCTTCTCTGGTGCATTATGACAAGTTTTCTGCCACTTTGGTGTGCGGTGAGGTTACGTGTGTGTGTGTGTGTGTGTGTGTGTGTGAGAGAGAGAGAGAGAGAGAGAGAGAGCACTAAGAAAAAGAACCTGAAGTGTTACATCTGCTTAATGATGTGATGTGTGCAAATACTTAGCATGATGTCTGACACATAGCCCTCTGCGTGTTAACTTATTATTATTCATGATGGACTGTCATGAATCCCTCTCCCGTTTCTTATCACCCATTGCTTCCTCAGTTTCTACCAGGATGTTCACTTCCAAGACCTACTCCCCCCTCATTTTTCAGTTTTTAACCACGTGTAGTATATTGAAAAGATACATTTAATTTTTAATTGTTTTCTGTAGTGCTGATTATTGAACTCAGGCCTAACGCATTTCTGTCTCTGAGGAACTTGTGCCAATCTACAACTCTATACAAGCCTTGGGCCAGCTTCATTACTCAGAAACAAATACGAACTTACATGTTTCCTCACACATCCTCTCAGATGTTTCTCTCCCTCTCTCTCCTATCTATCTATCTATCTATCTATCTATCTATCTATCTGAGAGAGTTTTTACTATGTAGGCCAGGCTGACTTAGAATTCACAGATTATGCCTCTGCCTCTGCCTCTGCTTTTGGAGTGCTGGAAATAAAGGTACATGCATGCCACCATGCCCAGCTCCGTTCCTTACTCTTTAATAGAGAGAATTCAACATCATATTTTAAATCTGTTTTCTGATGCTATCATCTACCTACATATGGCACAAGAAGGAACAGTGCCTTCTCTTTGTCTAGGACCTTCAAAGCTAACCTCTCTTGGTCCAGACTTCCAGTGCCTGCTGTCTATGCCAGCAGCCAACTCCCACTCTCCCATGACTTGTCTCTGCAACTTGTAACTTCTGGATCAAAGCTTTTCTCCCTGGGTTATGCCCCGGGGATGTGGACAGAGCACGGTGACCCTTGCATTATACCATAGCCAAGATGCTTCTCAAGACGTTTCTAAATGTAACAATGTAACAATTCCATCCCTTTTCTTTCTCCTGCGCCAAACACCTCACTTTGCAGTCACTTTCTTTGTCTTTTTTCTTTTCTTTTCTTTTCTTTTCTTTTTGGATGATGTCTCTACTGTCTTTGTTGTGTTGCTTTGGAGCCTGTGTATGGGACAGGGCTATATAGACTCATAAGTTTCTTGAGGCATTTACTCATAAGAAATTATCATTACATTATCAGCCATGTAATTTTAAGTGTGTGCTCATAGGACATGATTTCAAGGCAGATAATGTAACATTAACTTTTCTAATTAGTAAGTTGGATATCCACCTGTCTCTACTTGCAGGAAGGCCAGGACTTTCCTCTCTGAGTGTGGTCATTGCTATCTGGTGTTTTCTGATGTGACAGGAGGAACTCTGTCCTGTGAAATCTAGTAAGTCATTTCCTAACGCTTCCGAGACGCCTTGCATAGGCCACAGCAACAACACAAACTAGAGCTCCCAAACTCTGGGTTCACACAATTTTGGATAAGGTCTCCAAGCGTGGCTGTGGTGCTGATGGGCTGTGCCAAGGCTCTGTCCATCCATAGTCTCCTGTACCCTTAGGCTTGGGGTTGAGTTCTGGTCAGTTCTCCTTTGAGATCATGGGTGTTCTTTCCCTAATGCAGACCTCTCCTGAGACCTTCTCCAACTTTCAGAGAGAATTTAACACTGAACAATGTAAAAGAATGCCATTGGCTCCATTTTCTCCTTTTCCTTTACCACCAACTCTGTATGACAGGAGTGTCAAAGTGGAGAAGGGACATGGAAGAGGGGGACCAGGAAGGAGGCCACTGTGTGCCTTTGAAGGATGTGCAAAGTGGGAGTGCTTAAGTCTCAGAAAAAATACCAGGAAGGTTTGTTCAGGATGCTTGGTTTCAATTGTTTTAAAGAAACAAACCTGTTCTATACTGTGTGTGGAGTGTGTGTGTGTGTGTGTGTGTGTGTGTGTGTGTGTGTGTGTTCCTGGAGCTTTCCTAGAAAGCATGGTTGGTTCACACCTTTAATTCCAGTAGTTAAGAGACAGAGACAGGCTTGTCTCTGTGAGTTCAGTACCAGACTAGGCCTTGTCTCAAAGAGAAAGGGTGTGTAAGGCCTGACTCATCTCATAGAAATCTCTGGAGCTTTGTAGTTAGATGTCTGATTCACTCTTTTTTCTTTTTTAATTGGTGTGTGTGTGTGTGTGTGTGTGTGTGTGTGTGTGTGTGTGTAGGCCAGAGATTGACACCAGGTAATCTTCTCTTAATTGTTTTCACCTTATATGGGACCTGAAGAGAAGTTGAACATCTAACAGTGAAATGGTGGCTCCTGGGAGCTGGCTTGCCCTGGTTTGACTTGATGTTGTTGAAATGGAACTCTGACCCAAAGCAGCTTGGGGAAGAAAGGAGGTTTTGTTTTTGTTTTTGGCTCATATCCACCAATGAGGGGAGTCAGGTTAGGAACTCACACAGGAGAAGAGTCTTCCCACATCAAATCATCAATGAAGAAAGTGCTCCAGAGGCAGGCAAAGCTCTGTGAGTTTGAGGCCAGCCTAGTCTATAGAGTAAATTCCAGGATGGCCAGGGCTACACAGAGAAAACCCCTCTCAAAAGAAAAGAAAAGAGAAGAGAAGAGAAGAAAAGAGAAGAAAAGAGAAGAAGAGAAAAGAGACAAGAAGAGAGCCTCAGAGAAATGCCCTCAGAGCAATCAGATGGAAGTGATTATTCAGCTGAAGTTCCCCTTCCCAGATGAGTCCTCTTTGTACCATGTTGACAAAAACTAGCCATCATTTAGAGGAGTTGGAAGAGAAGGGTAAATGTTGGTCACTGATGAGAATAGCACATAGGATACAGCACAGTTTATAATAATGTATATAGTAAATTTACTAAGAAAATTCAAGTGTTCTCACATCGAATAAGTGTTCATTATAATGCAAGGTGATGGTGGCTCACGCCTTTAATCCCAGTACTTGGGAGGCAGACAGAGGGGATCTCTGTGAATTCGAGTCCAGCCTGGTCAGCAGAGCAAGTTTCAGCAGGGCTATACAATGAAACTATGTTTTGAACACCCCCCCCCGAAGTTTCCATTATAAAATAATCATAATAAATATAAATAATAATAGGTATAGATAGAATAAAATAGTAACTAGATGAGATATAGACACGTTAATTGTTTGTTTGTTTTAAAGATGTATTTATTTCATGTACATGGGTACACTGTAGCTATCTTCAGACACACCAGAAGATGGTGGCATCAGATCCCATTACAGATGGTTATGAGCCACCATGTGGTTGCTGGGAATTGAACTCAGGACCTCTGGAAGAGTGGTCAGTGCTCTTAACCACTGAGCCATCTCTCCAGCCTGACATGTTAATTGTTTAATTACAGTGATAATTTCACAATGTATACATAACCATCACATGTGCCATAAAATGTACAATTTTCATTTTTCCATCCTGCCTCCACAGGGCAGGAGCAAAGTTTCATCC